AGCATATGCACATATTATGTACATATTATGCTTTATTCTTGAGAGAAAATAATAAAAAAAAAAAATTTTTTTTAATATATTACAAACGATATATGAAGTTTAATGTACCTAAAACCTCATGGGTATTTTAACAGGATATTAATAAAATTTATGTATGTGTATATTGTAGTAAATCAAAATGGTTGTAAAATATGTTACACTATAAAATATTGCGTTGCATATATGAAATGATTGTGTGTACACACAGTAATAGACAAAAAATGCAAATTTATGTGAATTTTTTTTTAAGAGTTTTCTTTTTTTATTATTATTATTTTTTTTTTTGTTTTTCATCCATTAAATTTTCATTTTAACATAATTATTTATATACGCATATTATGTATTTTTTATATGCTCATTTATCGAATATATATGTATATATAAATGTATATATTTTAATATTCAATAATCAATTCATATTTCACACGGTTACAGTACATATAGAGTTACTATTATATAGTTACAAGAAAAATACTTTAAAAAAATTTAATAATATAACAGAAGTATAGCAAAAAATTTTGAATTACTTAAAGGTTTTGAAAGCTTTGTGTAAACTACAGATACATATGCATTATACGTGTAAAAATATGTACTCTTATATTGCGTTCATTATGAGCTTTTTAAGAATGGTAATTACTGTTAAAGGTTTAAAGCCATTTTTAAATGATTTTTAAATACTGCCTATAGTATATAATATGTAATACTACCTATAATATGTAAAATAGTTTTAATGTAATGCTTTTAAGTAAATATAGTTAATGAAATTTTGTTATAACTTTGAATGAATGAAAATATTTTGTTTTTTAAGAATAAAATATAATGAAATGATTTTAATTAATTGCTATTAATTACATGTATGAGCACAATAGTGTTACTAAAAATTTGGTTTAAGAAAAATATCAATCAATTTAAACTATAGTTTGAATAAAACCAACAATAATAGAAGCGAATTTGTAGTCTCTATCGAGATTCGAGCGAATTATGTTACAAATTATGAAATTTCAGGCACCAGTGCGATCTAATTGTAAGACTCTAAAAAATAATTTCCTTAAAGTGTGGAATATATTTCTATAACAATAATTCAAGACCCTTCTCTCTACAAAATTTCAAATTATCTAGAAATAAATCTCGGCACAATTTGGTAAGGTTTCATAGTCACTGGCTTGAATATGGTATACTTCAATAATAATTTCTCCTCTCTTAAGGATGTGAAATACCTAAAACGTTTGTTACAGTCTTAAGCAGTATAAAGGACTACCAATAGAAATTTATTATAGCATTTAATAAACTTTATAGGCTTAAATATTTTCAAATTTCAATTGTTTCATATATCCGAAACTTTTCGAAAATTCAAATGTGAGAATATTAATTTTTAATCCTTTCAATAATATTGTTCTATATGTTTGAATTTAAAATCTATTTAAGGACATGAAATCATTTTAAATATTAAAAAAAAAATCATTTTTGCATAATTGTTTTTTTAATTTTTTTTTTTTGCTTTTATTCCACGGCTGTTATGCATTTGTGATTTTTATTGTGAAAATTATGCATTTGTGAATTTTATAAAACAGCGGCTATATTTCTGTTATGCATTTAACAAAAAAAAAAAAAACTATTTTGTTTCCTTTTGTTCTTTTTTATTTTTAATTTATATTGTCGCTTAAATTCAATTTCTATTTTTGAATTATAAATCAGAAATAGTATTTTTTTTTTTGGGGAAAAATTATGGATTTGTACATTTTTTTTTGGGAAAAATTTCTCTTGTTTTGGGTCTAGTAAATAGAATTTGCATTGGAAAAAGAAATTATGAAAAAACATGACCAAATATTAAAAACTAAAAATAAAAAATGGGAAAACCACTTATTCGAATTATTTTTTTTTTGTCCCATTTTTTATTATTTTGTAAATTTTAATGTTATAAGCCATAAATATACTAAAAAAAATTGTTCTGTCTCTAATACACGAGTATATTATATGACTATATGCTTGTATATATGTAAATATGTACAAATATAATGCATTATAATGATTTTATAGTCAATTAAATTTTAAAAATTTCAAAATAATTAAAATAGTTTATAATTTAAATAGAATTTTCAATATATATAGAGAAAAAGAGTGTAAAGATTTATTTATGTATTTTATGGTTATGGTGGAGAAAAAATTCATAAAATTTCAACAACCACATTATAAATGTAGTGAAATATGAAATATGATTAAAAATAATTTAAGGAAAATACAAAAATTTACGATATAGTTAAACTTAATCCTTATAATATGAAAATTCATATTTTATCTTATTTTATTATTTTTATTGTAATACTTAAAATTTGATGCATTTTCGGTAGGATTATTTAATTAGAGGATTTTATATAATATTTGGCTAAAATCGTTTAATTGATATGAATTTTTTTTTCTATTTATTCGAATTTGTATAAATGATAAATTAAGTATTTAATATTTTATAAAATAAATTTTGCAAACTAAATATTTTTATTATAACTACTGTTTTAAAAATTTTAAAAGCTATTTAGGATTTTTAGCTCATTATTATAACTTAATTTACCATAATAATTACAAGAATTTGTAAATTATTTTAATTTTGCAGAAATTCAAAATATAATAATAAAATGATTATTGAAATTAGTAAAATATAATCATTATAATTATTAGTACAATTAAAATTTATTTATAAAATTATTGTACTAATTCCATAATTTTTGCATTTTAATTGCTCTTTCGATCAAACGCCATTTTCTGTTTAATATATTTTTCGACAAACGCCAACATTTCTTATGTAATTCATATTATAAAGAAATTTTGACTCGGAATTGCTTAAAAATTAAATATTTTCGAATTTTCTTGACCTAATCCATAAAGTAGAAAATTAAAAATTTCTGAAACATGAGCCAATAGTAAAATAACATTCTCTTATACAATATTCTTTATAACTATCTATGTGTTTCAACTTATATTTAATTCTTTTAATTATTTGTTAAATTATTAAAAAATTTAAGACTCATAACAAAAAAGAATATATTTATTTGATAAAGAAAATTTATTTGAAATTTGAAGATAATTTTGTGAGATATTAAATTTTAAAGTCGTTTTCCCAAAAATCTGTTCGAATAAGGCAGTAGATTGTAGATTATTGAAGAGAGATATGAACAAAGGAACTCCTGCTCTTCGACCACATCAGTCAGCCATGTATTCTCGTAGCTCATTTAAGGGTCCTATATCTCATTTCCCAGGTTTCAAGTAAATAATCGGAGATATACTTCAGGGAGTTGGACATAAGCTCCCCAACACTGAGAAAGCCCCGCCCCAAACCATTTGCACCTCCTGACGGTCAAAGCAGGACTGTCACACAGAATACGTACCACATATTTCGCCGTCTCCTCACCGTCCCGGTAGAATCTACACATAAGGTAGCCCGATTTGCCTAGTTTATGAAGATAATATTTCACCAGATACTGCTAAGTGAAGAATCCAGTAATAGCACGAATAGTTCTGAAGAGAACTTCTTTGAGCAAAATTGAGAATAAGAGAGTAAATTGATGAAGGACTGTGAGTAGTACAAATCTTAAGTAAATATTGTAGGAATTTATTTCTGCACTTATGAACTATTTAAATTTTTAAACAAATGCGAAGTTATAATTCACGTATTTTCAGTTTTATTATCAGAGCTCTTCCCCTTTATTACCTTAAAAATTTATTAGATTTTATAATAATTATAAATTAATAAAGTTGGGTCAAACCAATGGTTTGTATTGTAGCACTTTTCCCTTCAACAAGTGAAAATTCTGCTTTTAAATACAGTCTATGTATAGCTATCACACTATTAAAATTGTTTTCATTCATATACAAAACTATTTCTAGGATTGCATATATTTAGGATGACGCATATATGCAATCTTTGAAATAAAGCAAAAATTAATATAAAAAGGGGTTAACATAATGCTCGATTTTAAGGGTTAATTGTGTGAGTTAAGAAAAATAATTATATTTTTTAATTTCATGGAATTTACCGTTAGCTTCTTGCGTTCATAAAAATTTGGAAAAGCTTGCGGTTTCGGAAATATAAGGTGTCAAAAATTCAAATTTTACGAATTTCAAGAGGTGATAACTTGAGAGGGGGTGGAGATGGAAAAAAATTTTCTTCTAACAAAATGAACTATTTATTAATATCTAAAAGCTCCTAAAATTTCAAGCTTCTACAGGCTGGGGTCTAGAAGAAAAACGACATCAAAAATTTGGAAAAAAAAGACTTTAAATAACGGTAAATTTGAGCGGCCATTTTGTTTTTCTTAAGTTGAACTATAGTATACCGCGCAAGGAGAAGCAAGCCACTGCCTTTCTGCGTTTGCAAAATTTCAAAAATGCTTATGGTTTCATTGCAACAAATATTTAAAAAAGGCCATTTTTAGGGTTTTGGGGGGTATAACTTCTAGAGGGGGGGAGATAGGTAAAAATTTTATTCTACGGAAATAAGTTTCTAGTGAAGATCTATGTACGTATTAAATTTCAGCTTTCTATCTTCAAAGTTGTAGAAGTTTTGTAAACAGACACACGGACAGACGGACGGACGGACGGACGGACGGACGGACGGACGGACGGACGGACGGACGGACGGACGGACGGACGGACAGAGTGAAACTAATAAGCACTTTTTTCAAAAAATTTTTTGGAAAAGTGCTAAAAACTAAACATAAAACTTCTTCATTTGATTTTCATTTTCGACAAAAATATCAAATAAGTCATACAAAATATTACTAACAAATAAAAGTAAAATAAAATTCAAATAATAATTTATTACTTAAAAAATAAAATAAATGGCTAATATTTTCGATTTCTCTTATCAATTCATTTTGCAATAAGCAAACAATTTTTCTTTATGCCACAAAAAACAAATTGATTTGAATTCATTTTTCTTTTTTTTTTTTGTTTTTACAAAAATTTACCTTGGCTGATCAATTTTTATTTGAAGTAATTCATCAATACTTTTTGTTCGTAAACATGGTGCTAAATCATCAACTAATAAATCGCCATGACATCCTGTATGTTCAGCAACTCTACGTTTAACTAATAATGGATCTTTTTGTATGGCCCAGGGTGATAATGCTGATCCACTTAATAGAATTGCTCTATGAATCAAATCTATAAAAATGATAAAATAAAATAATAGAATAAAGAAAAAAAAATGCATAAATGAAAATTAAAACAATGGAATTTTTTTTTCTATTTTGTTTTGTTTTAAAAAAGAAAAAGGTGCAAGGAGTAAAATATAGTAGAATAGAGAGAATAATAAAATTAATGTATGGTCAATATTAAAATATAAAGGACGAAATTTTTTCATTGTTTTCAAAAAATATCTTTTTTATTTTTCGTATAATTTAATATACATTTGTATGTATGTGGGAACTTAGATATCTGTGATAAAATTAATTTTCTAAAAAAAAATCCTTTCAAAATTATTTTGTATAATTTTTAACTTTTGAATAAAGTAAAGGATCAACATAATTTATCATTTTATATCATGGTTTCTGATTACGTTAAATTGCGTTTTGCTTAAAAAATTATAGAATTTTTTTTTTCTTGATTTTCATGTACAAAATTTGTGATTATGTGAAACGGGAATGATTCGACTGCAAAGTACAAAGTGAAAATTCAATATATGTTATATATGAACCGAAATTTAGACTAAATTAATGTACATATTTATGTATATTGAGATAATTTCAGGACATAAACCGCAAAATTTCGAAATTAATTTCTAATTAATTTTAGCAAAATGTTCAACCGAGTTGAAAATTAGATAGAAAACTCCAGTCACAAGTAAGAAATTTTCAATAAATTAATCGGATCATGTACTAAATTAATTCCGATTTAATTAAATTTATTAATTTTTAATTTTTTTTCTCAACTTTTAAAGAAGCTCAATTATTTTGGAAGATTCATCATATTATTCAGAATAAATAAGTATCAAATACTTGTTACTCGTAAATTGTCATAATAATTTCGAAAAGCAAAAATTATAATTATTCATCTGATCACTTAATTACCGGAATAAAATCATAATAATTTCCATTGGAATAATTATTACGTGTAATCAACACTATTAACTATTGTAATTCAGTATAAAGCAAATTTTTGTTTTTTAAAATATCCTTTTTTTTATAATCTTTGAATTTTATTTTTTTATCATTAAATTCAAAATTAATTGCTATAAAATTTCTTTTTTCCAGCCTGGAAATTCATTTATGTACTTATATGTGCATAATGTAGGTACTTATCTTAATTTGCAATCATTAAATAATTAAAAGATAATTTGAGTTTAATATTATGCAAGATAAGCCATATATTAAAGGATATTATGTATAAAAAATAATATATAATAATTATTGTATGTATAAAGATTATAATAACTTTCATTAATTCATTACGTGTTCTTATATATATTTTTTATTTTTATTTAAAAGTACGAATTAATCGTGTATATTACTTGGACATTTTAATATAAAAATCTGAACTAATTATAGCTATTTCATTTGTACATTAAATTATTAGTTCGTTGATATATGAAATATTCTTTATAAAGGTCATTTAATGTATTTTAATTCATAGATTCTGATTTACAATTTAAAAATATTTACTAAGTGAAATGTAATGGTGGGCTACATGTAAACGTTTTGAATAGGTCAATATTCTGCGTCATAATTTATTGTAATAGCTACTCAATAAAAAAAATTGAATTTTATCGTAATATTTTAATGAAAATCTGTTATATTCTGCAGTAATTAAGAATATAGTTGGTGGATACAAAATGTATATAAATAATATTGAAATTGAAAAAGAATTTGGCACGAAAACTTCCAAGAAATCAAACTTTTTCAAAACTATATATTTTTCGTATATGAAAACTTTCGATGCGTTCAAATAATTTATTAATCTTATCCATTATTGTTTTTTCAATTTACATAAAATATTCAGTACATAAAACAAAAATTAATTTATAATAAAAAATTTTTATTAAAAAATATTTTTCCAATTTAAATTATAAATAATAATGTTATATAATTACCACTTGCAACAGGTGATACTATTAAAATATTTGCTAATGCAGCACCAGTTCCATGACCCATAACCGTGACTTTTTTTGGATCACCACCAAATGCTGGTAAATTTTCACGTAACCAATGTAATCCAGCAACCAAATCCATAAGACCAAAATTCCCTTGAGCACTTGTTTTACCACCAGTTTTTAGGAATCCTGTAATGAAATAGACAAAAAAAAACAAAAATTTTAAAAAATAAATTTTATATTTTTATTATGTAAATTAGTTGTCAAAGAAATTTTTCACATGTTTGTATACAAATTTGAGTATTAATTATATTTTCTGTATATATGTACGTATATGGTTATTTATACAATGTTTTGCATTTGTTTGTTGACTGGCGTTGTCAAGGATTATATGAATAATATTAAATATTTATTTGCAATTGCGTGATTTTTTTACTTTTTTTTTTGTATAGCTATCAAAAAAAAAAAAAAAATTTTTTGATGTCCAGAGTAAATAAATAAAATTGTAAAACTATTGGGTATTAAAATTTGGTTTGAAATTTTTTAACTCTTTATTCAAAATGCAACATTACAAATTTTCTAATTAGTTTTCTACGTGTTTCTCTTTAGCCATTTTGATTTAACGAAAAGAAGTTAGAAAACTATTAAAATTTGTAATAGACCCGATATTTTTAATGTTCACATTTCAGAAAAAGACCGTATATCAAATGACCGAAAAGTCTGTAATTTCTAGTTACTCATAGCATTATTTTTACGCTACGTTGAATATATAGGCTATGGTTAAACAAATATGGAAAAATGAAATTGTGATACAATTATACTCGTAATCAGTTGAACAAAACGGCGCTAACGAGCAATGCTCGACTAATTAATAACTTTATTCGATTTTCTAATTAAACGACTTACTAATTAAAATAATGTTCCATTTATTCATTAGTTTGAAATTTCTTTAATTACTATATGATTTCTAAAAATATTTCAACAATCATACAAATTTTACGTATTTTCCAAATTTCAAAAAATATTCATTATTTTTCAACATATAGTCGAAGTTTATTAAATTTTTAACAGGGAACTCAATATTTTGTCCCTTAACATGACAATGTCACATTTTATTATTTACTACGGTATCCTAGAGTATGTCAATAATATTGTTAATGTGTACTCATAATAATTTTTCTGTTAGTTTCATATTTCATAATGAAATTAAAAAGGAATTCATTTTTGATTACTTTAAAAATGCTTTTTGCTATCACGTTAATCAATTTTGTAAAAGTTTTTTCGTCATACTGTCAATTCATAATTAAGTTTTTTTTTTCTCTGCTTTTCTTTTTTTTTTTTGGTTTTTGAGGTGTGTTATCAAAATGAGATGCAATTTAATTAATTATAAAATGTTGAATTAATTTTCATCATAATTCTGATAATGACGGCAAGGCGGTAAGTAGAATTGAGATATTTACAATTTTATAGGAAATTTATGGAAAGAGATGAAGAGAAAACATTTTTCGTTTGATATAGCAGGAAAAAAATATTTTAAGTGACCAGTTTTTTGATATTAAAGTTTTTTTTTAGGTTAGTAATTTATAAGGAAATTAATTTAAATATAAAATTTTGTTTTATATTGCTTGTTGTTGTTTTCTTGTTATAAATAATGGTTTTATTGGGATAAATTAAATGTGGCGTAATTTTTTATGAGTTTTAAACGATTTATAAGCTTAAATAGTGCTTATTTATAGGTAATAATTGAATAAAATTTCATTTATAATAAATGTAATTAAAATAAAGTTCACTTAAAGTAATTGGAGTCAAAAAATTAAAATTTCCCAATTGAACAAAAAGGTACAGTAGAATTAGAACGATGATAAAAATTATACTGATAAGGTAAAATAGAAAATTAAGTGGTTAGTTATAATTATAACAAATTGTGCGCCATGTTCTTCTGTGATACGTAAGTTCTAAAATTATTGAATGCTTTCGGTTACTCAACAGAAAATCGAAAAATTTATTTTATTTATATGAGTTTTTATTAATATTTTTGCAGTCATATTTGCTTGTGGAAAATTTCAAATTAATCAAAAATGCCTTCTGCCTTAGAGAACGTTGAAATATTATGGATTTTACTAATACAACATCATAGTTGCGAAATTAATAAGTATGTGCTTATTACACTAATAATTTAACTTAATGGAAATTTCTTCATGCAACTGCAGAACAGATGGATGACATAATTTTTTTTGCATCAAAAAGCGTTAGACGACTGCAACAAGAAAAAACAGGCGAAAATAACCATGTAACAGAACAACACGATAACTAAATTAATAAAACAAATTTTATAGGACTGCCGAGATATTTTTAGAAGTATGCTGTTAAAATTCATACAAATGATTTTTCAAATGGTACTACAAACATTTATTTATAACTTTTTAACAACTCAATTTTTAGCAATCAAATTTTTAACAACAGTTTTTTAGAATTTATATGTACTTATAATACTCAATGTTATTCGTGTATAAGCTGTTAACTAATTTGTAACAAAAGTATAGTTGTAAGGGAATTGTTGTAAGAGATTTACCCAAAAATATGGAATGTTATAACTTTAGAAAAAACAATTTTCCCAAGATTAATATTTTAATAATTAAATTTAAAAGTAAGAGGCTGTTTAATTTAATCAAAATTATGATAATTTAATTTAATTAAAATTATATAGTATGTTGAAAATGTTAATGTTTTTTACACTTTAATATCGCCTTAAAATATTGAATAGAACTAATCTATCTTAAAAAGTTTCTGCAATCCGAACTATATTTCAAACTGTGTAATTGATACAATAATGGATTCTTAATATGATACTGATCCTTGTTTGAATTTATGGATATTTTGATGAATTCATTACTCAATTACCCAAAAAAAGAAAACCGCACCCAAACCAAGAACGAGAATTATTTATCAAGGTTGACATTTTATAGTAAGCCTATATGATAAAATTTATTCATAGAGTCTATTAAATTTTTCTATTAAATTTACTTTATTTAAAAGGCAAAACAAAAAAAACAACATAAATTTTTTAGAAATTAGATTTTGGGATGGCGGAATTAATTTTTAGAAATTTGGAAACAAAAGAAAATTTGAATTATAAATAGGTACATAAATTGATTTTTTTTTCTATAACTTTAGGTCATTTTTTATTTTGAACCTTCCGGTAGAAGCAAAGAAAAAAAAAATAAAAAATATATTCTTTTTATAAATTCTTGAATATTCTTTGAATTTTTTGTGTTTTTTTTTTCTAGTTCAATAAAATTAATTCTTTTGTTGATAGAGGATCTAAAATTTTGGCTAACTAAAATACATATTTCTAACTTTATCTAAATTTTTGTTTTTGCTTATTCTCGTATATATTTTCTTTCGATTTTGGGTAAAAGGACAACAAAGAAAGTAATTATATGATTAATTTATCCTTGCATCCTTTTTTTTTCCACTCTTTGCACAGGAAATCATAAATTTAGGATAATGAAATTCTATTCTCACGATAAAAAAAAAAATGATAAAGAAAAAAAATATTGGGACAAAGCAAAAAATTTCATAAAATAGATAACAAAAATAAAATTAAGTGAAAAAAAAATATTTACAGGATATTTACAATCGTTTGATATTTTAATATTAAGAATTAGTATAAGAAAAAAAAGCATTGCGTAAAATAACAAAGACAAATATAGAAAAAGTGAAAGTACACAGAAAAAATGAAGCACAATGATTGTATTCTTCTTTCAATTTTGTTGTAGAAATAGACTCTAAAAATTGAGAAACATAAACACAATATTAACAAGATATTCAGAACATTCAGCTCCAAAAATATATTTTCTTTAAATTCCAGATTCGCTTAATTTATCCGAAATGGAGTGCATTAGTAAAAAGATCAAATAGATATGTTAAGTATGCAACTTCTCACAATATCTCCCTTTTGGTTATAAACGAGAATAGGTAGAGTTAAATGCTTTTATACATATATGACAATTAAAAAAGTAAAATAATGGCTCTATTACCATTTTCTTTTATGAAAAATTTTAGTACTATAATTCCAGTTATTTCCATAATATTCGATCAAATCCAACCTGAACTATTGTTTCGACTACATTCAATTTAAATAGAGTCGGCATTATTACTATCACATGTCATTTGTAAATATTTACTATTATATGTATGTTTATCATTTGGTGATCTTAACTCAATTAGTTTTTGAGTTATCGCTGAAGTGTACAGACAGAGATGGTCAAATCGACTCAGAATTCAACCCCGATCAAAAACATGCACTTATGTCTATATCCCAAACCATTATTTGTTAGTGTTATACAAAAGCAAAGGTAAGGTGGATTTGTAATACTCTTCGAACATATGTTCGAACGGATATAAAAAGGGAGATATTGTGATTTTTGTACATTTTATTAAATTTTATTTCGACCAACAAATTACAGAATCCTGACGATTTCAACATTAAAATTTTTCAAATATTAAGTTTAAATTTTTTTTTTATTTCATTTTGAATTTATAATTTTAGTTTTGATTTATTTTGTCATTTTAATCCTTAAATTTATTAAATAAAATTTTTAAACGAAAAATAATTTTTCTAAAGTAGATAAACGCACAGGTAATTTATGCTGCTAGATTGAATTTTGTTTTAAAATTTGAGCCCCAAAGCGATAAGTATGGTCTATTTTTAGTTACGGTTCGTAGATTATGATGCCATATTATTTGATAATAAAGAAAAAAGAAGAAAAATTAAACAAAACATAAAATTTAAAAATTAAAAGGATATTTCAATAATTTTTATTTAATAAAGTGACAAAAATTTACAATTGCTTTGTAATATTCAGTGAATATTCGATTTGATATGAAAAATAAAATAAAAATGTAAAATAAGACAAAAAGTAAAAAAAAAAAGGAAAAATTCAATATAAAAATAAATTTTTGTTTTGCGTCCTATTTCCGCCCTCATTTTTTTTCTTTTCTTTTCATTTCAATTTTTTTTCTTTGTTTTAGGAGCACAATTTGAAAATTCATGAAATTCTTTCTCGTTACAGGCATATTTAATTTTTTTTTTTTTTTGTTTTTTAAATTGTTTACCAACTTTCATCACATTTACATAATTTTTTCTTTATCATCTCTACATTTTTTTTTCTTACATTTTTCTTTTA